TACGCGGGCCTCTCACTGTTGTGGCCTCTCCCGTTGCGGAGCACAGGCTCCGGACGCGCAGGCTCAGCGGCCATGGCTCACGGGCCCAGCCGCTCCGCGGCATGTGGGATCTTCCCGGACCGGGGCACGAACCCGTGTCCCCTGCATTGGCAGGCGGACTCTCAACCACTGCGCCACCAGGGAAGCCCCTAGACACAGCTCTTGAATAATGCTTGGATCATTGTCAAAGGAAAAAAAAAGGCTACTCTTTAGTTTTCACATATTAAACTCAAGTTAACATCAAACCACCACTAATGAAATTCTAGGATGTTAGCACAGACGCTATATACAACCACCAGTTTGCTCTGCTACAAGAGAATTCTGGGAGGGCATAACGATAATGATGATGATGATGATGATGAGAGAGATCTTAATGAGTGTCTGTATTAATCATATCTTTTTATTCTGTATTTTTAATGCTTTGACATCTTGAGGTCTTGATAACCCAGGAGCAAATGACCATATGTTCTTGAGAAGCAAGAGAGATTATGCTTCCCAGGACTACGTAATTCCTAGAAATAGCAAACAACTTGCCTGGGAGCACACCTTTTATACACAGACCAACCAATCCAGAGCCCTAACATCCAGCCACCTCCTCCGATGTTTCCCCCTCATTCCATCTGCCTCCTGACTGACCCTGGTGCTTTCCACTGTGGTCCTCTGTGTGGCATGCTGTGCCTCCTGTTTCAAGGGACCTATGTTATAACCAACTTCTCTCTCTCTTTTTAAAAATTTTTATTTTATAGTGGAGTATAGTTGATTAGCAATGTTGTGTTAGTTTCAGGTGTACAGCAAAGTGATTCCGTTATACATATACATGTATCTATTCTTTTTCCAATTCTTTTCCCATTTAAGTTGTTACATAATATTGAGCAGAGGTCCCTGTGCTATACAGTAGGTCTCTGTTGGTTATCCATTTAAAATACAGCCGTGTGTACATGTCAATCCCAAACTCCCAATCTATCACCCCCGCAACCCTTCCCCCTTGGTAACCACAAATTCACTAAGTCTGTGAATCTGACAAACTTCTCTCTTCACAGCAGTCAATTTTTGTCTATATGTCTCACCTACTTGATTAAAACCAATCCCAGGAATCGTTAAAACAGAGCTTCTTATTTGCTAGGCACCTTGTGCTTTATATGGATTCCATCACGTAATCTTGACAAGAGCAACACGAGGCAGTTGCTATCATTTTCCTGGTTTTTAGGTCAAAGAACCTGAGGCTTAGAGAGAGAGGCACTAGCTCAGAACCCCCCCACCCCCTTCCCCCCGCTACCCCCCAGCACGGGGGTAAAGCCAGGATCTGAATTTAGGTGGTTTAATTCCAGAACTCACACGTTTATCCCTTTTGTTATTTTTCTGCTTCCTTCGGGTGTCAGAAGGATTCCCACTTGGGGGTTCTCATAGAAGGCAATCCTGAAAGGAGGCAGTGTCAAGACACAGGTATGCATGACAAAAGCGCGAGACTGATCTGCTCTGAAATTAGCGTTTTCCTTCAGGTTAGCCCCTTTGGCTGGCCACGGCGCCAATGCCCAGGCATTTTACAGATTCCTCTTCTACTGCTACCTCCTGATGTGGGTTATTCACATGAGGAAACCAGTCTCACGATTTCGTGATTTTCCCTCATTTCTGACTGGGAGGATTATGTCCCCTTTTATTCAAGTTACTTATTTCTAAATTACTCTGGCTTGTTTAGAAAACAAACAAAACAATAACAACAACAAACTGACTTCAAGGACACACAATCACTATCATTAAAGATGTTTGAGAAATGCCATCAGTTGCAAGGCAAATCCACGAGGTTTTTCACATGCTCTTGGAGCGACAGCACTGAGGCTGGAACCAGCGTTTGGAAAAGGACTACACTTCTTCGGATGCCTCAGCTTTTTGTTTTTTTGTTTTTTATTGATGTACAGTCGATTCACGATGTTAATTTCTGCTGTACAGCAAAGTGATTCAGTTTTACATATATACATGTTCTTTCTTTAAATATTCTTTTCCATTATGGTTTATCACAGGATACTGAATATAGTTTCCTGTTCATGGATGCTTCACTTTACTCTTTACAACACCATTTATTTCTCACTGAGTCATTTGAGCAAATGACTGTGGAAAGTTCAGGGAGTGGCAGTGCTAAGAACCGGAGAAGAGACCTTTCTTTTGGATTAAATCGACAGAGTCATGCCCACAAGGCTAGCTATCGAATACCAAATGGGAGGGGTCAGGTGGGGTTATAAGGTGAGAGCTGTGAAGGGAGAAAGAGGGTAAGCCTGGGGACTCAGACACACTAAACTTTGCATTTCAGACAGAATGAGGGTTTGGTCTTCCTTTCCTGCCTCCTTCCCCCCC